GTGTGTGATTGTTACCATCAAAGAACAAGAACCTCATGAAAATCAGTGAGAGGAAATGAGGTGACAATTAGGGAAAAATTAGGAACACTAAGGCTAACATGAACCAAGAAAGTTTGCAAACCTCTGGGCTAGTTCAGGAAAAGAATAGAAGAGTCTATCTCTGAGCAGACCACATCTATCTATACTCAAAGATGGAAGTGGTGCAAGCACATTGTATCTCCTATTCTCTCTTAAGTCAAGTTGGTTGTGAGGGGTAAGTCAGAGGTAAGAACTAATTGAAGTTTAAAGTTGACAGTTCAAGTGGACGTGGATTGTGGGTAACGGAAAGTGACCCCAAAATTATAGAATCAGTCTGAACTGTTGTCAAGGGAAGGATGGGACAGGTTTAATTGAACAAAACTGGAAGCGATTCAATGAAGATAAAATAAAATTCTGTTATGTTGCTATCCCAATGAGTTGCGATATCTCAATTGCAGTAGATAAGGTCCATTAAACTCACCTTGATGGCCCATGTGACAATTCTTGACTGGTAGTAGGCAGTTGGTAGATATTAAAGTGAATTGATTCATATACTCATTAACTGAACAAATATTTATAGACTGTCTACTATGTATTAAGCCTTTAATTAGCCACAGGGGACACAGAGAAAAGCCTGCAAATGAAACTTTAAAACAACAGACTCACTCCAATCATAGTTTATTAAACTATTCTCCCCTGCCCAAGCAATTAATTTCCAAAAGGAATATATTTATTTGCATGTTTTAGTCTAGCTTATCTTTACTACTAAATTATTAAGGGCTAAGAAACCAAAGATTAGTTTGTCCTTCCTTCGTCTCTCACTTTCTAAACATGGGCATGGCTCAGAGAGCTATATTAAGCCTTTTCCTCTTAATCGCTCATCTTTTGTATTTTAAATGCTATATATGCTATATATGTATATATGCTATATATGTATATATCCAGTACCAAACTTTCCCAGAAGGTCATATTTACACATCCAATTGCCCACTTGACACTTGGATACTGTGTGTTGCTATTGTTTTTAGTTGCCATTGAGTCTTTTCCAAATTGTGGTGAGCATTTTGTGCAAAAGGGAAAAGCTCATTTTCCAGGCTGTGTTACTTCAGAAACAGATAGCCAGGCCTCTATTCAAAGAATCTCTGAGTAGGTCTGAACAGAGAATCTTCTGTCTTGTAGTCAAGTGCGTAATTGTTTGCACCATCATGGAACTTCCTGACTACCAAATTATCCCAGGATGCTGAATTGTGTACACCCAAATATGTTGTAAATCCTAAACCCATTCTAATCCTAACCTACAGAAAGAAGTGTTAATAGTACAATTGGGAAGCATTGGGCTGCTAACTACATCATTGGCATTTTAAATCTGCCAGCTGCTCTTTGGGAGAAGGATAAGGTTGTCTGTTCCTATAAAGAGTTACAGTCAGTCTGAGAAACCCTGAGAAAAGGTTCTACTCTGTCCTACAGGGTCTCCATGGATCTAAATGGGTTGATAATGGTGGATGTGGTTTGGGTCTTACAGATATAACCCTACTTTGGAAGAGCGATTTCTTTATGATGTCAATGAGACTATAGTGTAGGATGAGTCTTAAACGGATTGCTTTTATGATCTAAAGGCACAGAAGGAAGATCTGAGAAAGGCTGAGATATATGCCACTGCCTGTGAAGATAAAGCTGAGAAATAAAGCTGAAAATAGACAACAAAGACTCGGTGGCCTGTATTCTGATTTTAAGCCTCACAGACTACGGGAAAATAAATTTCTGTTCATTGAAGCAATCCACTTGTATTTCCGTTATATTAACACTCCTCATTGCTATCAAGTAGATTCCAACCTGACCCTATAGGTCAGTGCAGCCGCCTGTGTTTCTGAGCTTGTGGCTCCTTGCGGAAATTGAAAGCCTTGTCTTTCTCTCAAGGAATGGCTGGTGGTTTCCAACTGCTGACCTTAAAGTTAGAAGCCTAACGGGCAAACCCCACATCACTAAGCTCCTAATATCAATACTAAGAAACAACAGAAACAAAATAGTATCTCAAACATAATATGCGCACTCCACCCCCCAATCCCTAATCCAGGTCTCCTTTAGTAAGGATTCTTGTGCTTATTAAATTATGTCATTACACCCCCCTTGATGGTGGATAGTTTTTAGCTCAAGCCCAATTACTAGAATTTATTATTGATTTCTCTTCTATTTTTCTGTGGTACAATGGATTAAATATACTTAAACAAAGCTCTTCTAGGAAGAGCCTTTGTAACTCCTACTGGACAACTGAGTGGGAGCATACAAATAAGGTGTACAGTATTAGAGCTTCAATTTTGAATACCTGGTTTGCAGAAGACTATGGATGACAATGAAAGCCAAAAATCCATTGGCAGGGTTTCCACATGGAATCAGCCTCAGGTGAATCCACTCTGACCGTTTAACAAGGTTGTGAACCACCTTGTTATCAGTTAGAGTAGACCGGAAAGTGGACTAACGTAGATGTAGTTAGGTTAAAATGTAACACCCTTTCATTATTTCTCCCCATTTACCCATTTCAAATTTGTTTTAGTTTTTATTATTTTCTGTTATTGCTTCACCTGAGGATTCTCTATGTCTTGTTATTGGTTTTATTTGTTAGTTTTTGTTTTTCTTTTTCAGAATTTTTCTCTATATCAGCAGTTTTCAACCTGTGGGTCATGACCCCTTTGGAGGTAGAATGACCCTTTCACAGAGGTCATCTGATTCATGACAGTAGCAAAATTACAGTTATGAAGTAGCAACAAAAATAATTTTATGGTTGGGGGGTCACTACAACATGAGGAACTGTACTAAAGGGTGGCGGCATTAGGAAGGTTGATAACCACTGCTCTAGATAAAATCAAGGGTAGGTAAATCTATAGAGACAGTAACTGAATTAAGAGTTTCTTGGGGTTATGACAGGATTGGGGGCATAGAAATGTGGCGCTAATGAGTACAAGGAAGAATAATATGTTCTAAAATGGAAAAAAATGTTCTAAAATGGATTGTGGAGATTACAGCCACAGTTTAATATGCTTAAACTATTAAACAGTATGATATGTGAACTATATGTCAATAAAATTGCTAAACCAAGGCATTAAACATGTTACTAGGCCAATCAATGGGGTTATTCCATAAATCCATGGCCCTAAACTTCTAAATGCATAAAAAAGGTCCCATGACATTTTGTTTAAGTGTATGGGACTCTTACATGGGCATTGGTCAGTGTTGTTATTCCACTGGTTATAAAGTGAGCCATCTCAGAAGAAAGAGTGGGAGATTTCACAATCTTCAAAGAAGACACAAGTGGAGTGAGTCCATTCGGCCCCAATGCCCCTTTGTAGAAAGTGGTGGAAGCAAGGGGAGCGAGCACAAGGCTGTGAAGCTGAGAGCCTTCAGGCAAGAGATTGGCTTGGAAAGTAGGGTTCTCTCTGGGAAAATATCACAAAGAAACGTTTGTAACACTTGCCAGAATGGGTAGAGACAAAGGGACCAATGACTGAGGAAAAAATCCTGACTTAAGAACTACTGTATCCTTACCATTTCTAACTCTGACATGTAACCTGTTAGCTTCCCTAAAAACCTCTTACCTGTATCAAGGGAGTGGAAAGTGGAATTGATGGGTCTTATTTTTCTATGCAGCTGTTAGCAAACCTGTAGAGTCCTCATGCCTAGTTTCTATTTTTCTGTTTGTTTTGCCCCATGGCCCCCATGGCCCCCATGGCCTTCCCTAGTTCCCTTGAAAAATGTTTCATGAAACTAAAACTGTATTGTTCACTACTATATCTCTAACCTCTAGGTCAGCAGCAAATAAAAAGTATGGTATGAGAGACCCTGGACCTTCCCACAATTGATTATGAAGAATATCAAGTTTCCGAGGACCTCACAGTACAAGGTGAGATGGACATTTCCAATCCTCTTTTGGGGATGAACTTGCCTTGTTACACTCAGAAATCCAGCAACATAATGGCTGTGTTTCTAACATAAAAGCTTACAAGGATCTCTCCCTAGAATCTACCAATTCTCCCTAAAAGTTGCCAAATGAACCCTGTCCATTATTTCAAATTTGCGTCCTTTAAGCTGAGTTCTACTGCACACATAAACCCTTTGGAGCTGAACATACTCTACCACACAGACAGTAAAACATGACTCCCTGCACACCGGCACTCATCCCCCACCCCTTCCTTCACCCTTACCCGCTATTCAGTAAAATACACTTTTGCAAGATACCAGCAGGATTTAAAAAGCACCTCCGGGAGGTCACCATTAATAGTGAAAAAGAGGGTGACCCTAAACAAGATCAATTGATACAGTGGCTTCAACAATGGGCTCAGACTTAGGAATGGCTGTAAGGTCTATGATAAAAGGCCTGGGCAGTATTTGATTCTGTTGAACACAAAGTAGCTAAAACAACTGAAGGTCTTAGCAACCACAAAGTGCTAGATCAACGGTTCTCAACCTGGGGGGTCGACGATCTTTTCGCAGGGGTTGCCTAAGAGCGTCGGAAAACATATTTCCGAAGATCTTAGGAACCTAGATACCACTTCTGTATCTATCTTCAGAGGGGTCCACCCACATGCAGTTACACCCACATACCCGGCATGAAGACCTATGCTACACCATGCTTCAAGACAAAATTTCATTTGCTTGTAATTAGAAATAAATATTTCACAATATATAATTACATATTGTTTTGTGATTAATTATGCTTTAATTATGCTCAATTTGTAACAATGAAAATACATCCTGCAGCTTATCAGATATTTACATTTCAATTCAGAACAGTAGCAAAATGACAGTGATGAAGAAGCAATGGAAATAACTTCATGGTTGGGGTCACCACAACGTGAGGAACGGTGGGAGAGGGTGGCAGCAGTGGGAAGGGTGAGAACCAGGGTGCTCCAGTCGCCCTGAAAGCAGCTTCCCCGCCCGGCCCTGGATGCACATGCGCAGGAGCGCGCGTTCCTCTCCTCGCCAGACACCTTCACGCTTCCCTTTACACGGCTGACGCCCTGGAGCCCGTCTTTGATTGGCACGTTGTTTAATCCTCACGCCTCTCACAGGCCATTTTTTAATGCCTCCCGCAGCGACCTGAAACTGAAACCACGTTACTTTCCCCATTAAAGTAACGCATCAACCTTGCTGAGGCAGGAACGTTTATAAAGATCGCGCGGCTCAGTTCTCGCGAGAACGCGGCCTTGCCTCGCGGCCTTGCTTCGCTTCCGGAATCCTCAGCGTCAAGTCGAACACTGCCTGGCGCTCCGCTGCCGGTCCCGCCGCCGTTGCCACCGCTCTCGCCGCGGTTTCCCGGTTCGGAAGATGGCGGCTCCCGAGCAGCCGCTGCCGAAGTCGAGAGGGTGCCAGGGTTCCCCCTCGCTGCCCTCGCCGCTGGGCGACCGAACCCTTCTGGTGCGGCACCTCCCCGCCGAGCTGAGCGCCGAGGAGAAGGAGGACTTGCTGAAGTACTTCGGGGCGCACTCGGTCCGCGTCCTGTCCGACAAGGGGCGACTGGTAAGGGCGCGCCCCGCCCTCGGCGCCCGGGAAGGCCCGCGGCTGGGCGCGGGCAGCGGGCTGGAGAAGCCGCCCAGGGTGCCGGCACTGGCCCGCCTTTGCTGGTCGCTGCGGTGGGCCGGGTCCTCCACCTGCCGCAGTGCTGCGGGCAAGGCGAGCGAAGAACGCGAGGCAGAAGAAGGAAAACAAATAATCACTTCGTTGTACTCTTTATTGGGGCCCCACCCTGAGAATCTCACAACTCTCTTGCGTTTGGGGATATTTCTTAGACCCAGATGCTATTAGATTTATGAAACAGTCTTGCTTTCAATCCTTGTACAAGTGTTACATATTTATCCGGAAGGGAGAAATCGCAATACTATGGTAACTTGAATAAACTGGATACAGGATTTCTGCCACATTTTTTTTTTTCATGGAACTTTCCTAATGGAATCCCGTGAAGAGCAAAATAAGATTATTTGAAGTATCCTATACAGCAGTTTACACATTGATTTTTCTTTATGTTAGAAATACGCTCGATTGGCTTAGTAATGGTCTTTTGTTGTTTCTCTGCAAGATGGTCTGATAGGGCAAGATGTCAATGTCTAGTCTCAACTGCGTAAAATGGGTTAGACTTGTGCTACTAACTGCATAGTCAGCAGTTCAAAATCAGCTGCTTCGCAGAGAAAGCTGAAGCTTTATACTACCATAGAGAGTTACAGTCTCAGAAACACACAGGACTCCTTCTGCTTTGCCCTCTTGGCTCGCTGGAATTGAATGAAGACAGTGAGTGAGGTGACCCTGATTAATGTGCAATCAGAATTGAAAATCACTGAGTTAGAGGAAAGGCTAGCTTTCATCAGTGTTAGTCTCACGTGCGAATACAAATATTCGTTGTAGCTAAATCTAACAAACCATCTTGGATCAAATTAGATGAAATTAGAATGTGTGCTATAACTACCCTAGCAAGCATTAGTAAACCTCACAACTCTAAATTGCTTAAATATTTACTTTTGACATACACTCCTTTTCTTGTGTTTCTAGAAATATTTTAAGTTTATATTTAAATATAGATGTCTTCCCTCGGACTTTATTCCAGTAATTAAAAAAAAAAGAAGAACCATACCTGGAGAAATAGTTTCTCTGTTGGTTAGCATTTTGTAAATGTAAGGAATCATAGGGAAAATTTAGATCTATAGGAATATTATAAATAGAAGATATAGTATGATTTTTAATAAAGATGGTCTTCATTGTATATTACAGATTCTTAAACTTAGCATCTACAAACTATATGAAAACTAAAAATCA